TGGAGGAGAGTTGTTAAAATCAGCACTGTGGAGCATTTAGATGAATTGTACTTTAGTATACATTTCACAAACATGGAGATACTTAATCCTTTGGTACATGAGCATTACACTGTCAGAACTTTAAAAAGAATATATGAGAAATGCTGTTTTTGTGGAGGGGAAAATGGCTGTACGGAGACTAAATTCATCAATACAGCTGTTAATAGCAATAGCATAGGGCTTTAGTTTATCATATGAGTTTATCTGCCATGAGGTGTTGAGGTCTCTGCATGTGTAGGTTACTGACTTACTGTAATCATCGGGTCTATCTCGTCCTTATAAAAACCTGCTCTGTTTCGGCGAGTGTCTGTCTTCTTCTGTAGTCAAACCGAAAGATATCAAAATCTACCCGGATACAGCAATGCTGCTTTTTTTATTGGCTGTTCAGTAGATATACTTTATTTGATTGGCTTGCGCGTGGTTCTGAACTCTCGGAGAAACTCAGTTGATTCCTACCTGTTCTATAGTTAAAGAGGCGCAACTTGGTGGACATCACCATGTTCATTTAAACGCGTGAGAAATACAATGTGTGGCGTGTGAACGAGTGGGAATGTGTGTGTCACACGCTGAATGCGTGAGACTTGAGAGCCCTGAAATATAAACAAAACACCGCAAAATGGTGCGCGCTGACAGACAGCGGAAATTAAAGTTTATCACTTTTGACACGGTGTACTCGCATTATTATGCCATATATTATCATTTTCTATAATTTAAAAAACGGTGTCAATAATATCGTTTATCGGCAATAATTTGTAGCACAATTATCGTCCAGCAAAATTTGTTATCGTGACAGGCCTAAACGTCACCATTGTTCGACAACACAAACAGGCGCGGGAAGAAATCTGTGTTTTGTTGTTAATTATGTCCCAGATAGAAAAATGAGAGAGTTTGAGGTTCAACTGGGACTCAACATTCATGAAATACTCGGGAGTGAACCTGCCTCCAGATTAGTCTCAGTTGAAATGTTTAAATTTTGACGCATTTTTATCAAAAATAAAATTTGATAAGGAAAGGTGGAATCGAATCCCCGTCACAAGTTTGGTTTCAGGAGTGGAAATTAAAGACTAGGATAGATTTTCCAAACTCCACCGGTAGAAGAAACAGACAAAGACTTTACAGAACGGGACAAATTTATCTTGAGGTACATTTGGCGGGAGACAAGACCCCGGATCAGATTCAAAACTCTTCAACTGCCTCGAGATAAAGAGACTAACCCACCTCACCTGGAGAGTTACTGTCAGGCTGTTAAAGTGAAAGACCTAAAGATGGAAATCTTACATCAAACATGATCTGAAACTGAGGGAACATCTTCAGGAGGAGTTAAATCCACGTCTGGGGGTCTCCTTAAAGATCTGGTTTAAGAATAAACTGATGGAGGACAGGATGGAGATGGATTACAGATGATTCAGACTTTGTACCGAACTCAGCAGATCGTAGATTTGGGAACTTTTTATAAAGAGTTTTCAGGATCTGAAAAATCACGATCAGGATTAAACAAACAAGATTTAAAGGGAACGATGAAGAAGTTAAAATCGGACGAGTCAGAGTCAGGAACCGTGACATTATTCATCTCAGCGTCTGATTCAGACCAGAGAGAGAAACTGAAAACTATATAAAGAAGCAAACAAACCTGAGCTCTGGTTCTGATGGTTCTGATGGTTCTGATGGTTCTGACTTTGTTCTTCTTTCTGTGTTTGTTTCTGTGCAGCTCCTCCAGGAGGTCAGCTCCCAGAAGTCCAAGCGGCAGTGGAGACGTTTGGAGACCCGAGTCAGTTTCTGGAGGAAGTGTCACGATCAGCTGAAGGCGGACAGAACCGATCCTGAATCCGCCTCTCAGTTCTTCCTCTCTCAGACCGGGTCTGGACCTGCAGACCCGTCTGAGGCTGCAGATCCTCAGAGCGAGCTGCTGGACGTCCAGGAGCGCTGCCTGCTGCTCTGCCTGGCCGCTCATTGGCTCTCTCTGCTCAGCCCGCCTCCCGTGGACAAACTGGAGAAGAAGCTGTGGGTGAACCGGGTCAGACAGCAAGTCCTCACCGTCTCCATGGAGAGGGAGAGCGTCTTCAACCTGCCGCCGCCCGCCATCACGGCGGAAATGAACTCGTACGCCGCGCTCATGAAGGAGTTCTCCTTCTCCAACATATCGGGCCTGAACACGGAGGAGTGTCTGAGTCTGGAGGGACTCCCGGGTCCTCCTGAGGACCAAGGTCAGCTGAAGGTCGACCCGTCGCTGAGTCCAGAGGAGAGGAGGGTCCTGACCGCTCTGATTGGTCAGTTATTAGATGAAGGAAGTATCCACGAGGCCAGCAGGGTCTGCCGGTACTTCTCCCTCCATCACCCAGACATGTGGGTGGTGCTGCGCTGCAGAGCTCTGGCCTCAGGAGAACCCAACCCTGAACCACCAGAGGAGGCGACGGAGGCGCTGCCGAAGAAGACCATCACCAGCTGTAAGCTCCAGTCAGAGGGTCTCCACAGACCTGAGGGTCCGGGTTTCTGTCCTCTGCAGCGCCTCCTTTATTTTGTAGTAAACGAGTGAAAAAAACTGTAGAAACAGACCGACATGATGGAGGAGTTCCTCAGGGTTCGAGTCCGGGTCCTCTGGTTTTTATATGTATCCCTATATACACTCACCGGCCACTTTATTAGGTACACCTGTCCAACTGCTCGTTAACACTTAATTTCTAATCAGCCAATCACATGGCGGCAACTTAGTGCATTTAGGCATGTAGACATGGTCAAGACAATCTCCTGCAGTTCAAACCGAGCATCAGTATGGGGAAGAAAGGTGATTTGAGTGACTTTGAACGTGGCATGGTTGTTGGTGCCAGAAGGGCTGGTCTGAGTATTTCAGAAACTGATGATCTACTGGGATTTTCACGCACAACCATCTCTAGGGTTTACAGAGAATGGTCCGAAAAAGAAAAAATATCCAGTGAGCGGCAGTTCTGTGGGCGGAAATGCCTTGTTGATGCCAGAGGTCAGAGGAGAATGGCCAGACTGGTTCGAGCTGATAGAAAGGCAACAGTGACTCAAATAACCACCCGTTACAACCAAGGTAGGCAGAAGAGCATCTCTGAACGCACAGTACGTTGAACTTTGAGGCAGATGGGCTACAGCAGCAGAAGACCACGCCGGGTGCCACTCCTTTCAGCTAAGAACAGGAAACTGAGGCTACAATTTGCACAAGCTCATCGAAATTGGACAATAGAAGATTGGAAAAACGTTGCCTGGTCTGATGAGTCTCGATTTCTGCTGCGACATTCGGATGGTAGGGTCAGAATTTGGCGTCAACAACATGAAAGCATGGATCCATCCTGCCTTGTATCAACGGTTCAGGCTGGTGGTGGTGGTGTCATGGTGTGGGGAATATTTTCTTGGCACTCTTTGGGCCCCTTGGTACCAATTGAGCATCGATGCAACGCCACAGCCTACCTGAGTATTGTTGCTGACCATGTCCATCCCTTTATGACCACAATGTACCCAACTTCTGATGGCTACTTTCAGCAGGATAATGCGCCATGTCATAAAGCTGGAATCATCTCAGACTGGTTTCTTGAACATGACAATGAGTTCACTGTACTCAAATGGCCTCCACAGTCACCAGATCTCAATCCAATAGAGCATCTTTGGGATGTGGTGGAACGGGAGATTCGCATCATGGATGTGCAGCCGACAAATCTGCGGCAACTGTGTGATGCCATCATGTCAATATGGACCAAGCTCTCTGAGGAATGCTTCCAGCACCTTGTTGAATCTATGCCACGAAGAATTGAGGCAGTTCTGAAGGCAAAAGGGGGTCCAAATAAAGTGGCCGGTGAGTGTAAATGTGGCTAATGTCTTCTAGGTCTCGTATTCTTCTTCTATTGTTCCTTTGACGGTCGTGTCCAATAAGCGGCGACCAACGATCAACAAGAGACAAAGTTCTGTTGGGATCAGTTTCAGTTTTAGTCCTTTGGTTGACTTTGATGGTTCTGAATCTACTCTCTGAAGCTGAGGTCCTCCTGAAAATAAAGACGTGTTTATATTATATAAGGATGGAGGTGAAACAGGCGGACCAGAAATATAAAAATATAGCTGGGAGTTCGAAAACAGGAGACCGAGAGTCGAACCTTGAGGAACTCCTCCACCTGATGATCCTGGAGAAGAAAGGAGGTCCAGTCAGAGATATTTCTGTAACCGGTCTGACACAGTATGGAAACTTAGACCAGGTCTTGTGGTCCACGACGTCAGGACTTTAAATTTTGTCTGTATAGAAATTTAACCCTTTCCTCCACCTCTCCGTCTCCTCCAGCGGCCTCCATCAACAGTTTGTCGTCTTTCGTGGTGCTCCCGCTCCCTGAAGACCAGGTCGTCGTCCAGCTGCAGAAGCTTGTGGATCAGTGTCGTCATGGAAACAACTACTGCAGACAAGTCCTGAGCCTCTACCAGCTCTCCAAGGTACTGAAGGTCCACACGGTCCGCACCTCCAGCTCCTCACAGACGTTTACTCACTAAGGCTTTGGTGTGTGTGTGTGTGTGTGTGTGTGTGTGTGTGTGCGTGTGTGTCCAGGAGCTGCAGTGCTCCTTCAGTCAGATCTGTGCGGAGGAACCGTCCTCGGTTCTGGAGAAGCTGCTTCTGTCGGAGCAGCCGGAGCGGTTCAGGAAGGCGCAGGCCTTCATCAAGGCTCAGGGTCTGTCTGCGGACTCGGTGGCCCAGCTCGTCTCCTCTGCGGTGGTCCAGGCTCTGCTCGCCTCCAACCAGGAGCTGCAGCCAGGTGAGACCAGCTGGACCACACATGAAGACCAGGGACCAGAGTCCGCTTTAGTCCTTCACTTTAACTGTGTGTGTGTGTGTGTGTGTGTGTGTGTGTGTGTGTGTGTGTGTGTGTGTGACCCAGCAGAGCGGCAGGTCTACAGACCATCAGAGGGGAGGGACTCTCTGGTCCAGCTCATCAAACTGTGTGAAGACCCAAACCTGGTGGGACTCAAACTGCTGGAGAACCTGAATACTGTTCCCCTGAGAGACCTGAGCTGCAGTATGACACACACACACACACACACACACACACACACACACACACACACTGACTCAGTCACAGTTTGCACACTTGCTTCAGCTCTGCAGTATCATCAAAGTTAAGATTTCTATTATTCAATTAAATATATTTATTTGTTTGTTTATTTTTTTTAATTTATTTTTTTATGTTTATTTATTTATTCATTTATTTGTTTGTTTGTTTATTTATGTTTTTTTTTCAAAATCAGACTTATCAGTACAAAATCAAAGACGGTCGATAAAGGAAACGTCTGTAAAAACCTAACTGAGGAAAAAAATGAAATTAATTCATGAATGTCAAAGTTTCTATGGTGGCCCTGAAGGTCGACAGTTCAAACTTTCTAAGAATGAAATAAAAAAATAAAAATAAAAATCACTGAAAAAATAATTAATTAAATTATTATATAATAGAATAATAATAATAAATAAATAATAATAAATTATAATAATAAATAATAATAATAATAAAATAATATAATATAATGATTAATTTAAGATAATTCATTAATAATTAATGAACTAACAAATATTTTGGGAACACAAATAAGTTTAAAAAAAAGGAAAATTGACATAAGAACTCAAATGATAAAATCATAGAAGTGTGTTAAACAGAGAACGTAAAACAGTTTGTCCAGACATAAATTTAAAATTAATAATATAATTAGGAAAAAAGCAAATAAGTATTAAGAAAATTAAATTATGGAAATGAATCTTCAAAACAAAAAATGAAAATAAGAATTAAAAATTAACATATTTCAGGAAATTTAAAAAGATTTGAAAAACAAAAACTCTGAAAAAATAGTAAATCTATCTTGAATTTTCCCTCAGATAAATATTCTGATTCTGATCATGAAAATGTTAAAAAATATATTAAAAATACACAAAATAATCCAAATTTTACAAACCAAAATTTAAAACAGGTTTTTCTAGTTTTTAAAAACACAAAAATCTTTTAAATATAAAAATTAAAATAAAAAACTACATTTCAGGTAGAAAAAAAAAAAAATTAAAAACGTATTTTTGGAAAAACAAAAAAATTTGAACGACATAAATTTACCCGTCTTTCCTTCCTGCAGTCGTGGAGCTGCTGATCATCGCTCACGACTGTTTCAGTCTCACCTGTAACATGGAGGGCATCGTCAGGGTGCTGCAAGCCGCCCGTCACCTTAGCCACACCCACCTGGCCCCTGGAGAGCACTACAGCCTGATGGTAGGAAGACCACAAGTCAAGCTCCGCCCACCTGAATACCCCTCATTGTCGTTACATCATTGTTTTTTCTGTGTGTGCGTGTGTAGGTGCGTCTGCTGACAGGGATCGGCAGGTATAACGAGATGACGTACGTCTTCGACCTGCTGCATCAGAACCATCGCTTTGAGATGCTGCTGAGGAAGAAGGTGGACACGGACAGAGGACAGGTGAGGCGCTCAGGTCGACCAGCTGTGACGTCAGGACGCGACGTTTTCATGTCTGTGATTTTAAAGTCAGAGAGAGTTTTACTCGCTGACCCCACCTGGTGTTCACCTGCTGCAGAGCTCCAGTCTGAAGACGGCTCTGCTGGACTACATCAAGCGCTGCCTCCCCGCAGACAGCGAGAAACACAACATGGTGGCGCTGTGCTTCAGCATGAGGAGGGAGATCGGAGAGAACCACGAGATGGCGGCGAGGACCCAGCTGAAGATGATCGAGTCTCAGGCCTGGGGTGAGTTTATCGAGTCCAGGGTCCTCATTTATCGAAGGTTCTGGATTCTGGCGTAGGAATGGCTCCAGGTCCGGGTCTTGGAGGTCCGCTGTGACTGACTTTAATCCTCTGGTGTGTCTCCAATCGAACAGTGGTGACGCCTGAGCTGAAGAGTTCGCTGGTCAAAGCGTTGGGTCTGCTGAAGGACGCCGCCGAGAGCTTCTCGAAGGTACCCGAGTGTCATCCTGGTGTTGCCGTGGCTGACCGCTTCATCTTTAACCGCGTCTGTTCGTGTCTCAGGACTCGTGTGTGCGGCAGGCCACTCGCTGTCTACGAACCGCCAAACTCGTCGCTCTTCAGCTGCGCTTCCTGAACCACGGACTGGACCTCCGTGTCATCAACCTGCGACCCGCTGAGCTGCTGGACGCCGTCATAGCGTTACCGCGATGCTACCAGGTCTGTGAATGTCTGACTACAGCTCGAGGTCGTTCAGGGTCAGATTCTGATCCTTCAGACCTCAGGACAGTTTCCCTCAGTCCACCTCAGATGGGCTCAGGTTTCTGGATCAGGTTCTTGTCGGATCTTGATTTCAGGTGTTTTCTGTCCGTCAGGTGTTCTTGGTGTCGGAGGCGTACAGCTATAATCCGGACTGGGCCGAGATCCTGTACCAGAAGGTGATCCTGAGAGGAGACTTCGCGTACCTGGAGGAGCTCAAACGGTACCGACCTTTGACCTCCAGCCTGTTTGAGGACATCTTCAAAAAGTGAGACGGACTGACGCAGTGATGGATCAGGAACCAGCTGAGAGTGTGTGGTCTCACCTGTGTGTGTGTGTGTGTGTTTCAGGCTGGACGGCGCCCCCAGCAGCGTCACCGCTAACGTGAAGCGCCTGCTGACCCACTGTGATGACGTGTACAGCCGCTACAGACTGGCCTATCAGCAGAAACTCTTCGACGTCACCAAAACGCTGCTGCAGGACGCCAAGACCTCCAGCTACCTGAACGACCGTCTGTCCAGCTGATCAGCTGATGATGAACCCGCAGACCTGATCTTCACAGAACCAAAACCGGAGGTTCTGACCGGGTTGAGAGGAGAAACGAAACTCTGACCTCATCATTGAGATGAAATAAAATGGATCAGAACCTGAATTTAGAGAAATAAAGATGAAAACTGAAAAAGTCCAGAGAGGCGGTACCGAGAGTTTCTCTGAACCCGTCTGTTCCTGAAATAAAGGTTCAGCTTCGGCTCTTTTCCAACTTCCTGTTTCACCGTCTTTATGTGGAACTTTGACGATCAGATAAACCTGTAATAGTCAAAAAGAGGGAAACTCCCAAAACTACAGCGTAGGGCTGCAGGATGTTAGAAAAAACCAACATGTCCGTTTTCTCCATTAAAGGGGACCTGCCACCAAAACTTCATCCCCATTTTTATCATTTTTTCATAATCCTTGATGTCCTCTGATCATGTTTGCAACATCATTTTAGCTGAAAAGTTATTTGATGGTTTGTTTTAGTATGCCTAAAAAACCTTACAGGAAAACCAACTGGTTTTGGCTCATTAACATTTATGGTAATGAGCTTTGCTCTGATTGGATCGCTGCTGTGAAGCCTGCTGTGCTCTGATTGGCTCAGCAGTGGAGGTTCGGATTTCGGTTTATCCATTGTTATTATGCTAATGCTAATAGCATATGCTAATGTGTGCTAAAGTAAGGTGCCCAGATGTCTGTAATGATATCCGGGGATATTCGGTGCGGTGGTGGCGGCGGTGCAGGGGCTGCAGGGTCTGTGTGATCACAGACAAAGTCTCGGTACTCTTTAGTATCAGCACATGCCCCTTGTAATAACCCCTGTAAGAACTGTTGTTCAGGACTGCTAACTAAATTCGGCTACTGTAATAACCGTTGTTCGAGCCCACACGCAACATTTCTGCTCTCATTAATGAAACGCTTAAATCAGGGACATTTTCGGGGACAGCTTTTGCCGGGGACAGATCATCCAATACGGGGACTGTCCCCGGAAATCGGGGACGTCTGGTCACCTGATGCTAAAGGCTAAAAACGGCAGGTATTAAACCATATATTTTAGACCCCGAGTCCGAAGAGGAGGTGGAAGTTGAAGAAGAAGCCGGAGATCTCCAGCGGTGTTTCTCATTCATTCTGCCCGGCTTTAAGTTCATTTTCCCGGCAGTGAACCGAAGGAAACACCGGTCGTTTGGAAGAGACCCATAGCGGATACAGCGGTAGCTGGGTCTCGCTCTGACTGTGACTGAGTACGAGAACGAGAGAGTGGGCGCGGCTCACCGGGGACGCGCTCGTGAATAATAATGAGCAAGGTCAGCGCAACGTAACACCGACGGGCTTTTTCAATTGGCCTGGTTTACTCGTTCCTTTATTTTTAACCTTTACAGAATGAAAACGAAGTAACGGTTTGTTTTCACATGTACAACATAAGACGAACATAATATGGACCTTATCTGACACAAAAAAACCACAAAATTAAATTTTGATGGCAGGTCCCCTTTAAAAAACAGGAATTTTCCTCCGATGATCTGAATCTGAGTTTCTGCTGAAGTCTTGAGGACAGTTAACCTGCTCTGATCTTCCCTCTTCATGTGAACGTTAGTAGACTGTCTTCAGTCTGTCTTTAGGTCCTCACACACCAGGACCGACGCAAAAATACAACGTGAAATTACGAAATATTCAGAGGCGAGTTTTGACGCGCCTGACAATCGTATCAGAGGTGAGGAATGTTCCCAAAGTCCTTCTTGGCGTTTCTCGGAACAACACCGACAGCGCCCGCGACTCGCTCCATGTGCAGGGGCGTGGTTTCCTCCTCTCTGATTTTGATTGACGGCTGGCAGGTTAGTCTGATTGGCAGCTGAGTAAAGAACGAATGTGATTGGTGGATCGCTGCACACGCAGAGTCACATGTCAGTGTCTGTCAGTCAGCTGCTCTTGAAATTAGACGAGTTCATTCACCTCTGACATGTGACTATCACGCACACTGACATCGCCGTGACGATGATGAAATGATTTATCGTGCAGCCCTACAACAGCAGCATAAATACTCAAGAGGAAGTAACTCAGAGTCACTGAACTCAAACTTCTGAAACCTCGGACTTCAACAGTTTGATAAAGTGGGCGGAGTTTTGGCGCTGCGGGCAGGTAGCAGGTCCTGGATCTACATGGATGAACCTTGAGGGGTCTCTGAAACCTCCTGGGGGACTCTGGACGACTGTGACTCTGGAGCTGATAAAGAAAAGCAGTGAAGCTCTGGTGTTGTCAGCAGATGAACTCTTTAATCAAAGATATCGGACACTGACGATGTTTCATGATCAGAGTTTAAATTCGGACTCTGGATCTTCTCCGAACGCTTGAAGAACTCCAGGATGTTTGCGGTCCTCGTTCAAAGTCCTGGTCCTTTGTTTTTAGACTTTGACCTCCTAAGAAACGATGACAAACAAAGTCTGGACTGAGTCAGAACCGTCTGATCCGGGACAGACTCTGTCTCAGGGTCCTCACAGGAATAGAGAGACAAACGTGTGTGTGTGTGTGTGTGGGTCCTCAGGTTGGTGACGAGACGTGAATCCCGTCCATGTCGATCTGGACTGAGTGAACACTGAAGTCTCCGAGACCCTGAAAGACACAAAGACCGGCACAGAGGATCAGAAACTGGACCGGATGATGAACCTTCACTGAGAAACAGACCGGTTTGGACCAGAACCATCCGGAACCCATCTGAGCATGCTCACCGGCGTGTCGTCGAGGATCTGAAGCACCGCCTCCTGCTGCAGAGGTTCCCGGGTCAGCAGGTAGAGGAAGCCGCCTCCTCCAGCCCCGGCCAGACTCTGACCCAGAACCAGCGGCCTCAGAACCTCCATCATGGCCCTGACCGAGGCGGGTTCACAGCCGGGGGCCATCAGCTTCTTCTGCTGCCAGGACCGGTCCAGACAGGCGCCAAGTCTGGACAGAGAACCTGAGGGGGGCAGGTCAGAACTCTGTCAGACCTCTCACAGGGGGATTCTGGGAAATGTAGGATGTGAGTGGAGATCCTGATTGTGAAAAAGCGACTTTAAAAAAACCAGAAAGTTCTGGACCAAGTCTCTCATCACGAGCAGAAACACGAACATCGGAGAAAAGAGGAAAACGACGGTGTGACACGAAACTAGCAGAACTTCATGGACTCTGAATGAAGAACTGAAGACCTGGACCCCGGAGTCTGTCTTATAGAGGTTCATATTTATCCTGTTCCAGAGGAGGACGGACTCTTTTTTTAAAAACAAGAATCTGGATAAAACCCGAACAAACGGTAAAAGTCACTCTGATTTAAAACCTTTTAACAGTTTTATATTTTTTTCTGCTGTGAAAAAAAATAATAAATAAAATCTTCACATGGAAAGTTTTTGAAGAATCTTTCACTGAACTTTAAAAACTTAAATAAACTTTTACCAAAATCTCATTTAAACCACAAACATTTCAATTAAAATTCAGTCAAAGTCAAAAATGAGGAAAAATTTAAGATGAAGTTAAAAAAATTGCAAAAACAAATAAAGTAACATTCAAGGAAACTGATGGATTAAAGCTCCCTCACTCCCTCACTCCCTCACTCCCTCACTCCCTCACTCCCTCAGTCACTCACTCCCTCACTCCCTCACTCCCTCACTCCCTCACTCCCTCCGATGAACGCTCTCACCATCTGAGCACGCTCCAGCGCACTCCTCTGAATTCAACACCAGCTGCTGAGCGTTCTGGACCATCGCAGGGAGACGACTGTACCAACTCCGGACCACATCCTGCAGAGACGGACACACGTCATCATCATCTTCATCATCAACATTATCTTCATAATTATCATCTTCATCATCATCTTCGTCATTACTGTCATTATCATCTTCATCATCTTGGTCATTATTATCATCATATTCATCATCATTATCATCATCTTTGTCTTCATTATCATTTTTGTTTTCATCATCATCATCATATTATCATGTTCATCAAAATCATCTTTATGATCATCATCATCTTCATCAAGATCCTCATCATCCTCATTATCATCTTCATCATCATCTTTATTATCTCTATTATCTTCATCATCATTATCAATGTCATAATTATCTCCATTATAATTATTATTATAATCATTGTCATAAACATCATCTTCATCGTCATCAATATCATTTTTATCATCATCTTCATCATCCTCATCTTCATCATCATCATTATCATCATATTCATCATCGTCTTCATCTACATTATCATCTTCATCTTTGTCTTCATTATCATTATTTTCATCATCATCATCATCAAAATCATCTTTATGATCATCTCCATTACAATTATTATCATAATTATCATCTTCATCACCATCTTCATCATCATCTTTATTATCATCTTTAAGATCATTATCATCACTATCTTCATTTTCTATACTATATTATTATAACATCATCCTAATATTGAACATCATCTTCATCGTCATCTTCATCAAGATCCTCATCATCCTTATTATCATCTTCATCATCATCATTATCATCTCTATTATCTTCATAATCATTATCAATGTCATAATTATCTCGATTATTATTATTATTATAATCATTGTCATCAACATCATCTTCATCATCATCAATATCATTTTTATCATCATCTTCATCATCATCTTCATCATCATCAATATCATTTTTATCATCATCTTCATCATCATCTTCATCATCATCAATATCATTTTTATCATCATCTTCATCATCATC